CGCGGGACCCCAATATGAATGTTATTCGGTGTATGTGGATCTTCAAACATAAACTGCAATCAGATGGGTCGTTGGAAAGGTATAAAGCTCGGTTGGTTGGGGATGGCCRCACTCAACARGTAGGAGTTGATTGTTCTGACACATTCAGTCCTGTGGTTAAACCCGCAACCATACGGACCGTTCTGACTATTGCTTTGCATCATCATTGGGATATCTCTCAACTTGATGTAAAGAATGCCTTTCTACATGGTACACTTCATGAGATGGTTTACATGCATCAGCCACCAGGATTCAGGAATGCTAATTTTCCACATCATGTATGTCGGTTAAAGAAGTCTTTATACGGTCTCAAGCAGGCACCCCGGGCATGGTACCAGCGGTTCACGGATTATGTTGGTACCTTGGGATTTCGACTTAGCTCCAGTGATAATTCACTGTTCATTTTTCATCAGGGACAAAATGTTGCCTACATTCTTCTATATGTGGATGACATCATCTTGGTCACCTCGTCTCCAGCACTGAAAGCCTTCTTCATGACTCACTTGTCTACCGAATTTGCCATGAAAGACTTGGRCCCTTTATCTTACTTTCTTGGCATCTCGGTCCAGCGGTCCCCCGATGGTCTATTTTTATCACAGGGACGGTATGCTCAAGAAATCCTCGAACGGGCCAAAATGGAGGATTGTAATCCGGTATTATCTCCTGTTGACACAACCGGGAAACTTAGCGCCAGTTCTGGCGATCTGATTGATGATCCCACTACGTACCGCAGCCTTGCGGGCGCACTCCAGTACCTCACATTCACACACCCGGATATTTCCTATGCGGTACAGCAGGTCTGCATGTTTATGCATGCTCCCAGGACTGGTCATTTTAATGCTCTTAAACGGATTCTGAGATATGTCAAAGGCACACTTGGCATTGGGATCATGATGCGGCCGTCCTCCTTATCTACCCTCATTGCTTATACTGATGCCGATTGGGCAGGTTGCCCAGATACAAGACGCTCCACATCCGGATATTGCATTTTCTTTGGTGACAATCTGATCTCCTGGTCGTCCAAACGTCAAACCGTTGTCTCGCGCTCAAGTGCTGAAGCTGAATATCGGGGGGTAGCTAATGTGGTGGCAGAGTTGTGTTGGATTCGTAATTTACTACTCGAACTTCATTACCCCATTCGTCGTGCCTCGCTTGTCTATACTGATAATGTCAGCGYCATGTACATGTCTGGTAATCCTGTTCARCATCAACGGACCAARCACGTCGAGGTGGATATTCATTTTGTTCGCGAGCTAGTCCGAAGGGGCTATGTTCGAGTCCTGCATGTTCCGTCTCGGCATAACTTTTCAGACATATTTACTAAAGGCCTACCGCGGGTTTTATTTGAGGATTTCCGCTCCAGTCTAAGCTTACGAGATCCTCCACCTTAGACTGAGGAGGTGTATTAGACTAGGTTATACGTTAATGTAATTATGAATAGTTAGAGGTATCTAAATGTAATTTGTATTATTATATAATGAGATCAATGAGAAGGGGAAAACCCACGATTTACACTCTATCATTCTCAAAGAGTCAAATAATTAAGCTTATATATATAATAAAGAAAAATCCTAAATTTTTAAATAAAAAAATATAATCATTTTTGTAATCATGTATATTTATATATATAATAAAACTATAATCAACTGCTTAATATGAATATATTATAACATTATATAAAATTTATTTCAATGCCTTTCAGATATTATATATTTTGAATATTTTAATAATATATTGTTATGTTAAAATCTTCAAATTATGAAACTGTTTGAATTCAAAATCTCCAAAATTTTGCTAAAAAAAATTATACAAAAGGGCAGGTGGTTTTATCCAACTGCAAGATAGGTCTTGGGTTCGGTCTGCCCTAAACGTTAGCCTCAGTCATTGAGTGAACCAAAAATGTTACCTCACATTGATGTCTTTAAAACCAGTTTTCACTTGAGATCGATTGAGATTGTCGTTAATCAACTTTTTACTCAAATAAAACAATGATCAGTATTTTAGTAGTATTTTCATGGATGTTGTACTTTTCAAATTTAATGTCATGTTTGGTTAGTTTATTGAAAGGCACTATTTGAATTATTGATAAGTTTAAGACCTTTTACTATTTCACTTTTTGTCAATTATATTCTCAATATTTAAAAAAAAAATTAAAATAATAATTTTTCATGATGGATTTCATCTCTTAGTCATTTCTCTCCCAAAATAATGAAAATTACCATAAGTCCATAATTCGTGGATGTGTCAAAATGTAAGTCTTTGGTCTCCTATGAGGTCAAGGGTTCAAATATCACCAAAGTTTATAAGGGTGTGTGAGTGTATTTGTTATATTTGCCGTATATAAATATTATATACTTAAAAAAAGTTTTTGAACCAGGTCTGTGATTGCAGGGGCCAAATAAGTAAATTAGTTATAGGTTCGCAGTTTTTTCCAAATTTACATATTTGGTGTTCACAATTGCAGACCTGGTTCATAAATATATTTTTTTCTTATAGTTTAACCTCTTCGTAAACTGCGGACCTGTCAATTACGGATCTATGACTATTTTCTTTATTTTGGAAGAAAAATGGCTAAACGGTGAAAACCATACAACCGAAATAACTATTTTAATTATTTTTTCTATTAAATAAATTAGTATATAATTATTAACTTACAAATAAATTATTAAGTTTTTAATTTATTAATTAGAGTTAATCATATTTTGTCATTAATTGTAGTAATTAATATTAATCATCAATTCTCTAGAATCATAAGAGTCGTTTACCCAAATGCTTATCCGGTAAGTACTTACCTATAGGAGTCAACATTATAATTTATTTTGATGCGTGAGATTTTAGTACATCAAAATTATATTGAATACAACAATTTACCGGATAAACGCTTACATGAATAAGAGTCATCATTTTCACTTACCGGGGAAGACTCTTTATTCTTCTCATCGCTCTTACCTGGTAAAATTCTTAACCATTGTCATGTTCATCCGATAAAAATATTTATTCAATAAGCACTTACTAAATAAGCATTTAGTAAACAGCCCCATGGTCATATTAATTGTTTTTATATTACTCTCATTATCATCATCATTGTTATTTAATACAACATATTTTTATAAGTTATATAAAAAATTTAAAGATTTTTTTTCTTCGTTGTGTTTCATTATAATAAAAACTTTGAAATCTGATTTTAATAAAACATTTAATTATCAGTTAAAAATCTACAATGAACAAGCTTTGTTTTAATTCATATGATGCAAGGGGCAGACCTATTAAGAGGGGGGCAGGCTTTCGTGCACCCCATCACTTGATTATTGCAAGAGAAATTTTTGAGGTCTGAAAGGTGCAATGACTTGATTTCGAGGAATGACCGTAAATACTTTGAAATCAAATTTATAATGAAAACTGAATACTGGTGGGATGGTATAGACTAGCACTCTGCATGCAAGAGGTGACGAGTTTGAATTTTATTTCAAGTAAAAGTTTAATTTTTTATCTTTTCACAGTCTGCATATTCGGCTCAGAGCATTAACTTATAATGTTATTTTTTGAATACATCATATAGTTATTTTAAAGATCAAAATCGATTTTCATTTGATAAAATGTATTTTATTTCTCAAATCGATACAATTGACTTTAGTCAAGTCAAACCACGTTGACTTCCCCCATGCCAAACCGTAATTTTGCGGACCCACCTAAAAAAGTGCACTACTCAAAGAAATTTTTGGGTCTGCTACTGTACGATATAAAATGGTTCGCATAAGTATTTTATGAAATCTATGTTCATAAATGTTTGTTCAAATTTTACGGGGGGATGTCTTTCACAGTCCGCGTTTCCATCCCACAGTGTGACTCTCAAGACAATTGGTGTCGAATCTAATAAAGACACAGACGTAGATTTAGTACTCTGTGCTAGGTGATGTTATAACCTATGTTATGTTCATGTTTCATATCAACATACTGTGTTCATGTTCCTTTTGAACTATGGCAGCCTTTCAATTATCATAGTGTCGATCATGTAATCAAGTTGCTTAAAGTTGTATGAACGTTTTAAGTCTTCCAGTATGATATGTCAAGATAACTGTAGAGTTTATTCAGTATTTAAACTGCAACATTAAAAAAACACACAGGATAACCTGACAGATGCAAACATACACAACCATAGCACGAAGTTACTTTTGGTGGTGTTGCATCATCAATGACCCCCTTTTGGCATTTTTATTATCGACATTTGTTGCGTGATACACACATATAGGTATATGATATGGTTTCTTAAGTGTTCAAAATTCGCTTTTGTTTTGTAATTTAAGTGAACATTACAAAAAGTCATGTAACCATTCACCGTGATTCAAAGTCTCTCTAATTGTGAGGTATAATTTCGAAACACCCGATTTATTCCGGTTCATATGGGTCCTTGGAGGGTTACAATTTTATTTTCCGCCATGATTGAGATCTCGTAACCTAACATATTCGAGCTCCCCTCAAAAAAATAATACCAGGCTCAAGCTCGATGTCGTTTAAGAGCTCGAACTCCCGACCGGATAATATTCACTTTTATTGTATGAATTATGATCATATGACCGTATTTGTCTTGAAAAAGTGTATGCTCGAATGACCCAACTCTGTTCAACTCGATAAATTTAATCGAGTTCTCGAATGAGTCAAGACAAACATTAATGTTATAAGACTCGACTCGTTAATTTAAACGAGTTTTACTTCGTATTCGAGATCGACTCGAACTCGAAAAAAACAACACCAAGTAGCGTAAATTATTAAAAGCTCGATTCGTTTACACTCGTGTAACCCAACGATTAAATTTATATTTGGCAATTTGAATATGCACTTTGGCACTTGTAAAAAGAAAAGCCCAAGCCTATAACCCGACCCAAATATAGGGTGCGAGATATCCGTCCCGAAATAAAGCATTGCAACAATAAACCGACCCGGTCCGAGCCTTGGAGCACACTTCTTCACCGTTCATCTACCGCCGGTCTGTCTTCCCGCCATCACGAAGAAGAAAAATGTTGATCGAATTGCCGAGATTAACGAACTCTCTCAGGGATCCATTCGACGCCGATAAAGCTTATCTCAATCGGAAACATATTCTTCAATCACTCAACAGTCGTCGGAGGTACTTGATTGCAAAACCCTATCGCAATTCAATCGTTTAATCCACAATCTGTTGGTTTTATCAATTTAGTGAACTAAATTTGGATTATCTCTAATTAGCTCCGCAAAATCACTTGAGGAATTCGAAGTTGCTCGAAAGATTGTTCATCGATGGGACGAAGGTATTCGTTAATTCGTGAAGGTGTTGTATGTACATGCTTATATGTCGTAGCATGTAATATATGATCACTTCTTTAGTTGTATTGAAGGAAAAGGTTGGTAACTACGTTAGAACTTTATAGAACACACTTAAACACTATTATTAGACTCGTATTGACTTGTAATTTAATCTATTTAAAACTACTAGGTGTGACCTAAACCTTTATAAAAACACTGAAACAGTAGGAATATAGCAATTTATAGTTTATTGAAATTTGCTATACATTACTGCAAGTTTTGACCTCAAAAGTAAGTTTACAATTTTGTTGGGAGTGGTGGGTGCGATAACTATGTCTATGCTTATTGAGTGTGGCATTGATACTTATGTGATTACTTCGATGGTTCGGAAAAGGACATTACCTAAGTTGAGGCCAACCATGCCACTTTCTGGAAGTGTGTGTGAATTTATAACTTCTGATAGATGTATACAATCACAGTTAAATTTAGAAGGAACATTTTGTATAGGTAAACCAAAGTGTTAGATTTTGTAACAAGATTTAATCAACTTTACATTGACGAACGGTGGGAATCTTACTCATCAAACCTGGGTCAGTGTATTGTGGGAACTAGTACAGCAGCTGTATGATCTTGAAACATTTAAAGTCTGTATTTTAATGTGGGTACTTATAATTGGTGTAGCTTCTATCGAAGTCCGCCAAGCATACAGACAGTTTGTTGGGGCCGTGGTTGAGTTGATTGATGGAGAAGTAGTCAATGAGGAGTTCAAAGAGGTGGCTTTGGCAGTGTATAGGCTTTTTGGTGCTTGTGTTGAGGAGGAAGAAGAGAACAGAAGGATCATAGAGAAGAAGTAAGACATTCTGCCTTTACCTTGTAAATTTTTTCTGTAACAGAGTGGTTTCTGAGTATTGGATGTAAATAAAGTTTATTCTTTTGTGTGCCATATGTGTTGTGTATGCTTCAGAATTCATGTCAATTTGAATAGTAAGCATTTTCATTCATCAATGATGAATTGTGGCATCTGTGACACATTTAATGGTTATCTATGAACTCTTTGATACAGAAAAATGATGTCAAGGAAAAATCTTTATCTTATAACACTTCAATTAATACAGATCTGAACTGCAAAAACTACTTGGTCATGATGTTCCGGATGCAAAGCTACAGAAACTTGTTAATGCTGTGGAAAGTCTTTCCAGTTTACAGCCAGACAACCATGAGGCAATGTCTTTGGCTGAAAGCCAAGTAAACGGGAGTGACGGTAGTCAAGAATTTGGCGCTAACTTGGTTTTTCACCACCCGACCCGGTTCTTGGTTGATGCTTCTTTCGAGGATGGAGAAATGTGGGGGGAGTGTACAAATGTTCCTTCTACCTCGCTTCATGGGGAATGGTATGATCATAGCGAGAGCTCAAAGCATCGTCCTGTTGGTGGAACATTTGATCTAGGATGGTTAAGAGATGAATGCAATAGAATATTAAATGGTAGTACTTCTCAGCTTCCTCAAGATGAACTAGCAATGGCTATTTGCCGGGTACTTGATTCAGACAAGGCTGGTGATGAGGTAGCGATACTGTTAATTTATTGGATCTTGTCAGTTCTGAATGTTGATGTTCTAAAATTGTTTTGCCTACGGATTCCGAAGCTTATCAATGCTGTTATTTTTGTTTTGAAGATAGCTGGCGATTTGTTGGATTTAGTTGGTGACGGTGCATTTGAAACGGTTCAAGATCTTATATCGGTGAGATAACGAACTATCTTGTTCTTGCACGTGGCTTAGAAACCATCTCTGTTTTTCTATTGCCACTGTCATGGGAGCCTTCAGTAATAGAGAGGTTGTTGCCTCGTGACCTGAAAAACATGTGTTCTAGATTACTGGAGTAGGTCAATAATATACACAACGCGGTATTCTAACAAAAGTTCTTGTCATGTTATCACCTGATCTGATTGTTTTGCAAGTGATGGATTATAATATAATTAAAAAGATACTTTCCTACCTTTGAAGGTTTGTTCCATTTTCTTGCTCATTCTTATCAGTCATCATCTTTTTCCTTTATATCCCCCATTCAGCATAGGAAGGAACTTGTTGATGCCATTCATCATGGGATGCTGAACTTAAAATCTGAAAAGGTGGTTTCTAGCTCTCAACCGCGCATGCCTAGCTACGGTACTCAGGTATGAAGTTGCTTGGATGTTTTTGTGGATTTTGTTGTTATTGTTGACTTAGTCATTGTCACATGCCTAGCCGTCAAATTTGGGTGTCAACAATTCATACAGGTTACTGTTCAAACAGAGTCAGAAAGGCAATTTGATAAACTAAGACGCAAAGAAGAGAAGAAACATAAACGTGCAACAGATCATGGGTTTGACACCGAGTTATCTGTTACGAGTTTTAGTTCTTTACTTCAAGCAAGTGCGAAGAAAAGCCCCTTTGATGATCTGATTGGACATGGTGAAGGGTCCAACACATTAGCAGTTACCGCGCTTCCTCAGGGAACTACTAGGAAGCATCATAAGGGATATGAAGAAGTTTCGATTCCACCAACACAGACTGCACCCATGAAGCCTGGAGAGAAACTGGTACGTTCCGTTTGTTTTTTTGATTTATGATCATTTTTGTTAGATGAGTATTGTCTTTTTAATGCTTATGTTCATAGTTGTTCTCAGCTTTTGAGAAATATTAATTTCAATTTATACCGGGATATTGACATTATAATTTATGTGGTGATAATATTACTAGTTTGTTTAGCTTGATAAGATCTGGCTTCTTATGTTTATAACTTCAGTAATCTTGAAGGTTACAATCCAGTTATTGCCACATAAAGACTTGGCCCAGTTGTGCACCCATGTGCTGAATTACACTAGCAGGGTCAATGGCATGCATGTTCATCATAATCAAAATGGTTTAGTACTTGTTGCCGACTTGCCTCACTTGAATTTGTATTGATTGGGTTTTATTTTGTGACACCATGGGATAACACTTGCTTCTCCATATATTATTTGCATACCTGTAACTTGTTTGTCCTAATCTCTGTTTGTGTATACTATACATATATATTATGTCATTAGACACCCCCCTTTTCAGCAATGACTAAGAAGGTTACTGGTATTTAGTAATTAACATAAGGCATGTTGCTTTATATAATATGTTTATTGCTAATATATTCGATGTCGTCTACTTCGAGGGGTTTCTACCTCTGGGCTGCTTATGGAAGAAAATAGCTTATTTTAGGTCATCAAATATACCTTGGATTGATAATGGAAGGCTAATGATTATACTTGACATGGATTTGAAGCCAACTAGGCTCAATAGAACACAATTCAGTCTTCATGCCAATTACTTGGCATCAGCTACATCAGAAATTCTCTCTGCATGACTGCACCCTCTCTAAAGCATCATGTCTGTTGGCTTTCTCTGATCATCTTCTTGTCAACTTATCACTATTAGCTAGTTTCGGTCTTCCACTACTTCTATGGCTCTATTATTATGAAGCATATTTGACAAGTTAATGATAATGTAGAAGTCAAACTATGATGCACAAAGTATGTAAAGGGTCAAAGCTTGTGGTCAGATAATGAAATCAAGTCTACTTTGAAAGTTAGATCCCTGTTTTGAAAATTGCTTTATTTGGTGTTCCTATATTCTGCAATGTGAAATAATGGTTATGGTCTCCGTTCTTTAATATTTCTTGATGCCTCCTTCTCAAAGCAAGAGGCTCGTTGCTGTTAATTTAGTGATCCATATAGTGTTTATGTCATTGTCTTTCTTTGATTGGGTTATTGGTATCCCATTTAGATTTCTTCTAAATGTTGTTGTGTTCCTCAGATTGAAATAAAGGAGTTGGATGAATTTGCACAAGCTGCTTTCCAAGGCTACAAGTCACTCAACCGTATTCAGAGCAGAATATTCCAAACAACTTACCATACTAATGAGAACATTCTGGTCAGTTTTAAAATCAGTAAGCTCACCAATACAAATGATGCCAATAAATAAGATCCTTTGTCTTTAAGCAATTGTCATGTGTTCCAGGTTTGTGCTCCAACAGGAGCTGGCAAAACAAATATAGCTATGATTGCTGTTCTGCATGAGGTGAGCACAAACTCAGATGTCATAGAGATCCGTTCTCCTATAACACTTGCTTGACAGTTGAATGATACCATGTGTTGTAATGTTGTCTCTTGGATATAAAATATTTTGACCAAATATGTTGCAGAGAATGCGTCATTGGTTTGTCCACAGCAGAAGCTTGAGTGGACGCACTAAATTATTTTTTCTTTAATATTTGTACCAAAGCTCCCATTGAGGAATCATAACTTTATTTTTGATGTTCCCCTGCTTGTTGTTCATTTGGTGTTACTGTGTAGGAAATCATTTTGCTATTGTGCAATTTATCTGACCCAAATGTGATTTTTATTTTCCAGATTGGACAGCACTTCAAAGATGGTTATTTGCATAAAAATGAGTTTAAGATAGTTTATGTTGCTCCTATGAAGGTAGGACTGATATCATCATTCGACCCGTGTGTCTTTTTTATGCTTACTATTTGACATGCAATCTCTAGGCATTAGCTGCTGAAGTTACCAAGGCATTTAGCCATCGATTAGCTCCACTGAACATGGTTGTGAAAGAACTTACTGGCGACATGCAGCTTTCTAAAAATGAACTCGAAGAAACTCAGGTTTTTCACAACCCATATGAAGTTTGAAAAGGATTCATAGAATTTTCATATACCAGTTTTAAGTTTTAAATGTGTCCACAGATGATCGTGACAACACCTGAGAAATGGGATGTAATTACTCGTAAGAGCAGTGACATGTCACTTTCGATGCTGGTAAAGCTCTTAATTATCGATGAAGTACATTTGCTGAATGATGATAGAGGGCCTGTAATAGAAGCATTGGTGGCTCGAACTCTTCGTCAGGTATATTATAATGCATCTTCTTGTCTCAGCTCTGTTACTTTAGGCGAGGGGTTTGGGTTAGTGCCTTGAAAGAAGGTAAAGTTTTGTGCTGCATTAATTAGTAGTATGATAGTAAGAGGTACTGTATAATTTATGTTATATGAGCTTACTCAAAGATATGGAGATCTGTACTTAACTGTTGCGAAAGCCATTTATTGAAAGCGAAGGCTGTTAATATTCATCTGTAACATTACCTTCTACTCTTGTTCTGAAGAATTAAGAGAACATACGTGCAAACAATGGCATTTATGGTTTAACAATAACTTGATGTTTAGGGAAGTATGTGCACATGCAGATCACTCTGCTTATGGAATCTTCAACACTTCTTCAAACGATCCTTCTCTTTGAGAAATATCATTTTCAGCTGCTTCTGTTTTTTTGTTTGCACATCCTTCTTGTGGCACACTAATAATATAGTTAGGAACTTAACAGGACTTGTTATTTCTATTCTGAAGTACATTTCAAGGTCTTGAATTCTTTCGATGATGATGATTAATGCTAACCTGGGAATAATGCTTTTTGATGGCTTTGACAGGTGGAATCCACACAGTCCATGATCCGTATTGTGGGCCTTTCAGCTACTCTTCCCAATTATATGGAGGTTGATCCTCTGCCAACTTTTCTTGGAAATTCTGGCAATACCCTTGATGTCTGTATCAGATGTGATGTATAGTTAGATTTGATTGCGTTATTCTCAATTTTCAGGTTGCACAATTCTTGAGGGTTAATCCAGATGCAGGCCTCTTCTTCTTTGATTCTAGCTACCGTCCTGTGCCTCTAGCACAGCAATATATTGGAATTACAGAGCCAAACTTTCAAGCACGGAATGAACTGTTGAATGAAGTTTGCTACAAAAAGGTTTGCTCGTTTTCCCTTCTCATGGCTACTTGTTTTACGCATTTGGATTGGCATTTGTTGTTCAGTGAATTTTTTGTGCCCAGGTTGCCGATTCATTGAAGCAAGGGCATCAAGCTATGGTGTTTGTTCATTCTCGGAAAGACACTGGGAAAACAGCTGATAAACTGGTAACATCTCCTCTCATAAACTGGTAACATCTCCTGCCACAGGTGACACAAACTTGATTGTGTCAACATGCTGCAACACAACATATTTTTGCTACACTTCGACTTCACCGACCTTGAATTCCCTCATTAAACAACAATAATATTAGGTACCAAACTCCAATGATGTAGCTAAACAGCTAAAAGGCAAATAAATTCTTGTTCAAAGTTGCCTACATGTGAAGAAAAAAGGGATTAACAAGGTTGAAAATATTATCAATATAGCATGATCTAAATAGGTCATTCTAGTCATTATCTAAAGTTATCATTGGTAATGGTAGGTCCTCCTTGTTATTCTTATTTTTAAGTTTTAACCAAAGATTACATCTTCTTCTACATGTGTAAAAGACCGTTTGAATCATGTTTCTCCAACTCATCTAGGTCTATTTGGTTGTTGCTAAGACTTCCACCTTGTGTTTCAGGTCACGAAAACATCCTTATGTGATCAAGTGGCTGGGCTTGATCTAGGTCAGACATGCACCCTTGGCCTTGATCGATATATAGTGTTGCATAGGCTCAACCTAGACGACCTATAACAACCAATTGCCTTGCAACTAACTATTAACATGATTTCTAGTTGAGTGCTTTATTTATGAACTAAATGATTATTTAAACCAAAATATAAACAGTAAATTTAATGATTTTACTTCTTTAAAACATGATTGCAGAATTGATATGACTTATATCAATGAATTAACATTGAAGATATAGTTTTTGCAATATCCCTAAATCTAATATCTTAAACGAGATATATTTCAGAAAATGGAGTTTTCAATATACATAGTAGAACTAGGGTCTTGATGGAATCTTCCATGAATACAAAGAGCCAAAATGTTTAACATGAATTACGTACAAACCTTTTCAAGTCAGATTGTGTTTTTGTTAGTTGGTGCATTGATGCCATCTTTCAAGTTCATCTGTAGCAATCTGCCTCGAGTTTTTCGAGATAGGAATGAAACAAAGAATTTGACTGTGAGAAATATACTATCATGAAACTTAGTCGGGGTTGCTAAAGTGGAGGGGTAGTATTGGGGTATTGTGTGACAAGAAGGTGCCGCTGAAATTGAAAGGGAGAACTTTACAGGTAGCCATAGGACCTCATTGTTGTACAAGTCCGAGTGTTGGGCGACAAAAAGAAGGCCCATGAAGTTTGAAATTGCAGGAATGAGGATGCTTAGATCAAACTGTGGCCGAACCTTGTTTGACAAGGGTACTGAACGAGGTTTTTCGAGCGGTTTGAGAGAAGGAAGATTACCGTGGTTTGTTCATGTTCGTAGGATGCCACTTGGCGGCTCTGTTGAGGTGGTTAGAAAGTGTGAAGGTCGAGTGGGCGGTGAGGAGGGGTAGACCAAGGAGGACATGTCATGAGCAACTGAGGTCAAGTATGGCAGCTATAGGCATTTCCGAGGACATTACCTCTGCTAGAAATTCATCAGAGACGTAGGACTAGGGTAGTGGACTAGGGTAGTAGACTAGGGATAGGTATCTGTATCTAGTGTAGACGTGAGCTGGAGAGGTAGAGGGTGGGTGATAGGGTAGCGAGCAAGTTGTTACATTACCAAAGTCCTAAGTTAGACTAGGGGTGTCTCATTCACGACTCTAACTACCCACGACTCTATCGAACAAAGGAAAATCTGTATGTTAGACTTCAACTTCAATTGGTGAACGAACTCCTTTGCATTGCTCTAACGACATATTCACCTTCAAGATAATCAACTCAAGAGCCCATTGCTCTGTCCTTATAAAAGATGGTGGAAAGCTTCTCATAGAAAGGAAACGTTTCGTCCCTAACGTCGTCATTCTGGACTTTATATGAGGCTCTGCTTTTAACCCTGTTTGGAAAGACTTGCATCCAACAAATGTTGTACTGCTTGAAGATATCCTGGATTAAATCCATTATCAATACCTGTGTACTTCCCCGGATAAATGTAACTCAATGGGTGCATTAACTAACCTGCTTCTTCCTTTGTTGTCCATGTTCTTTTGTTTCTTCCAAAACCTGACTGTAGTTGAGTCCACCGTGCCTCCAATTAAGAAACTGTACAAAGAAACATAATTAATTGCAATATCTTCATCACACATTTCCGACCATGGTAAAGTCCATGACATACATAAATATATAATAAATGGAATGTTGATATTCCACTTATTACAACCCGAAACATAAATAAACATATTACTTTAAGCTAAACAAGTTTACATGTTGCATCAGTTGCCATGTAAGCATTCCCTATGTTAAATTATCCGTTGGACTATCTCTATGATTATTCTCTCATCGTGGAACCGCTATGGTACAAATAACTTTGTAATGGTCTTTTCCATCTTGTGTGTGATTGGTTGACACTTTATTTCTCAAGAGGGTCTCCGGTCATTGTTGTATGTATGAAATTGTGCATCGAACAACAAACAATGATGATATGTGGTATGAACTCTATTTGATGGTATGGAGTATCACACAAAATGGTCCATCTTGCTTTGTCAACCTGAAACATCTTTGTATGATATTCCGCACTGATGAGTGTCTCATACTATGTAACTCCTTAAAAGTGGTAAATGGACGAGACCAGTCACTTAGAGATCTTTGTCGTTTCTCTTTGGTTATAGATATGAGACTTGTTGCATCACCCAATATTCTTAAGTGGTGGATGAGTGATGAGTAATAGAAGACCCTCATTCTTCTTAAACAAACATTACTCAACTGGACCCTTTTGTATTAGTATGCAAAGCTTTTCCTGTGATTCCCTTGCAATTGAAACTTAAAGATAAGTAAATCAATGTGTTCCTCATTAGCCTTTTGTTTCCCATACCCTTGGAATTACCAACAATTGATTTTCTAGCCAGAAACGTCTCGTAAGAGATTTGCTTCATAACTTTGCTGCATTGCTGAGTAAATGGGTATAACAATCTTTAAAGTTTAGTTTGATTCTATTGCTAATTATACTGGTGATTGTTCTCTTCAAATATTGTTAGCTTCAATCATTGTTCGCCATGTGACATATTACACAGGTTGAACTTGCCCGGAAATATGGAGAGCTTGAACTCTTTAAGAATGAGGAACATCCTCAGTTTCATTTGGTCAAGGTAAGGATATTTTGTGACTCCCCACTTTCTGGCAGCAGTCACATCATGGTATAACTAGATGTGTTATTATCACCCCCTTTGTTTACTTTCAGATGGAGGTTTCAAAGTCTAGGAACAAAGAGCTCGTTCAACTATTTACATCAGGAGTTGGCATCCATCATGCAGGGATGTTGCGTGCTGATAGAGGCTTGACTGAGCGGCTTTTCTCTGATGGATTGTTGAAGGTATGTAATTCTACTTTTGACTTGCTTTTGTAGCTTTGCAGGTATATCACTTAATGTGCCACCATTTTCCTTGCAGGTCCTTGTTTGTACAGCAACTTTGGCATGGGGAGTAAATCTACCTGCACACACTGTTGTGATTAAGGTTGTTAAAACATGTGGAGTTCCTATGTGTGTGTATCTGGTTAAGTATTCATGCAGCTATACCAAATTTTCGTGATTAAATTTATTAGACAACTGTTGATTTTAATGTTAGACATTTATTGCTTGTGTAAGACCGTTGAAGAATTAGGTACATTGGGAAAAAATAATTATTTAGTGTTGTCACTATTTTGGGAAGTTCGCACTTCCAATCTTCATCTAACCATGTCAAGCACTCTCCTCAAGTACTTAGGAGTTTCTTTCTCAGTTGAACGTGGAAGATAAACTGAGATGTCTGCTCTTGCCTGAGAAAGAGACATGGATGGAGTAACCCCAGAAAGATCTTGGTGAATAGCTCGCCAGAGTCCCCAGTATTTAAGTGTGAAAATAGTTAACCTGGTTTATGTTCATCCCAATACTTGATTGCCACATTTCTGAACACATTAATTTTCAACCCATGAAAGCTGTAAAATGTTAAGTGAGATCCACTCATTCTTAAGAAGGCTATGATCTGCCATAGTTGAAGATCAACATTAAAATATAAATTCATGTTAAATTCATGTTCACTAAATTGGATGAACCCTTTTATTAATCAGCGAAAATTTTCTAGTGCAATCATGTGGCGAAGATTTGATTCCACATGGTGCATCATTACTTCATTCTCTTATTTGTTTATCAATCATCATACCCGCGTTTGCACCAGGGGACTCAATTGTATGATCCAAAGGCTGGTGGATGGCGAGATCTCGGTATGCTGGATGTTATGCAGGTGCCATTAATGTTTTTACTGAAGTATATTCAACTTTTATTGCGTTTGAATTCTAATATTGTCTTTTCCCTTCTATTACGCGGTGCTGTAGATTTTTGGACGTGCCGGAAGACCTCAGTTTGATAAAAGTGGTGAAGGCATTATTATTACGTCTCATGATAAGTTAGCATACTATCTGCGACTTTTGACAAGTCAGCTTCCCATTGAAAGTCAGGTAACTGCTTGTGCAGTCAGAAAATTCATGTTGATTAAAATTGGAAAGTGTGAGAATTATAATTGTTGCATAATGAAGATATATTCCTCCGGTCCACAAGAAGTACAACGGTTTTGTTGTTGGGATGCCCCGTTGATATGGCGATTATTTGAATTTAAAAGGCCCATTTCTTGCTTGTTTTTTTTTATCTTAAATTGATGTGATACTCGGGTTGTTTGATGTGATATGTCGTTCTCTTTTTGTTGCATGTGCGAGGGTTTAATTAGGGTTTTGGATGGTTATGTGTCCGAACCTCAGGCCCATCTGTATTTAGAGTTTTCTGCTTGGTGGTAAACACATTATTTAACCCCCAAATATTTACACGATATTAGAGCTTTAGGTTATATTTTCATACAACCACGTCGGACTTTTATTTCGCAGCTAATGGCACGTAGCTGGTTGCTGTCGGTTGACACAACGTTCTATTCATTAGTCTGTTTTGGTTTGGTTTGTTATCATATCAAAGTTGCTGTTAGCTCCTTCATGCTCTTCCATCTCAGATGATTGTATCTAACCCTAAAAAAGTTTAGCCACCACCTGAAGACCCATTGAATTGAGTCAGCTTCAATTGCCATTGCTTGTAGACCTCTGACTTTCCTCGTTGGTTTTCATGGGCCCTCACCGCCACTGTTGTGACCTTGTTGTCATGTGACAAGCGTATCTGCTTTTGTGGGCTTGGATGAGCATTAACCCGACTATCAAAGCTCTGCAGGAGATGCACTTTTGGTAATCTGGTACACCCTTAAAGCCTTGTTATAGACATTCATGATGTTGCAATTCGTTTGTTTTTTGGTAAGTTATCTGACTTGATCATTGGAAACAAGTCTATCTGCACCAAGGGGATCGGTTGAGCCTTGATCCAACTTCTGAAGCTCCCCCAGCCTCGTTAGAGACATGCCTGATGTTGTTTTTGAATTATTTTTGTTGAGAGATATGAAGTTCTGAAAACTTGGAGTTGTTTGGTAACTTCCAGAAAGTTTGGGGGTTCTTCTGCAAATTTGAAGTAAATGGTCAACATTGTAAAATTTAGAAAGTCCAGGGTTTGTCTGGCAGGTTTGTTAAACCGAAAGATCCATGGAAGTTGGATGAAACATCTTCGAAATAAGAAATTTTGATTCCATAAGAGTATTTATAAAATCGATTTTTTTGGATTCAGACTAGATAAACTTGGTAATTTGTGTATTGTATATGTGAATCACAATTACAATCAGGGATATATATAAGAGATACATTTACACTCTAGACCCTCTAATATAATTATGTATATATATATATATATATATCACACTTAATTGTCTAATATTCCCCCCCAAGCTAAGGCTGGGGAGTGACCTGTAGCAGCTTGGATTGTAATATGAGAAACCATTGTGAAAGTAGCGGCTTGGTGAACACGTCTGCAATTTGATCATCTGTAGATATAAACTAAACTGAAAGCTTCCGTTGCGCAACCATTTCTCGGACAAAGTGAAAGTCAACTTCTACATGCTTGGTACGGGCATGAAAGACAGGATTAACTGAAAGATACGTAGCACCAAGATTATCACACCATAAGGTAGGAACCGACTTCACAGGAACCCAAGATAACCAGCATCACCAAATCTTTTTCTTTCACTGGTTCGCCTATATTGGCGAGAGCATCAACATATTCCTGATCCCTGGTTAGGTATGCAGAGGAGGGTTCATTAGGCTTCATCTCTAGTTTAAGAAGCTGAGTTTTTAGGGTGTATTTCCTAGATGATGTGTGAGGAGCGTAAGCACATTCAAGAGACAGCCAAAGATCACGGGAGGTAAGTCCTTGAATGTGTTGGAACGACGCCTCAGAGATTGTAGAAATAATCAGCATCCGTACGTGTGCATCATCGGAAACCCATGCTGTGTAGTTAGGATTCGGTCGTGGTGGCGTCATTGTGGTGCCGTCGGCATCTTTTCCAGATGATGATGAGATAGTCATCGGTGGACAGGGAATGGTGCCATCAACATAGCCGAACAGGTTGTTTGTAACAAGGAATGGTTGAACCATTGCCTTCCAATAGCCATAGCTGTTTGGTGATAAAGAAAAGCCAAACTTGTGGGAGTTATGGGTGGTTTTCTCAATTGGAGTGAAAGCTGCAACAATTGTCATTGATAGACAGAAAGGTGCTGCAGCCGTAGGATAGAAGACGGGTGCGGTAGCTTTAGGGTTGCCTTGTGATGGCAGAGGGTGGTCGGCAGCTGTAGGGTGTCTAGGGCCGACCCTGATACCAAGATAAACTTGGTAATTTGTGTATTGTATATGTGAATCACGATTACAATCAGGGATATATATAAGAGATACATTTATACTCTAGACCCTCTAATATAATTATGTATATATATCACACTTAATTGTCTGATAAGACTCTTCTTGTTCTTTGTCTTTCCAATCTATATTTCATGGATTATTCTTGTTGAAATTTGCAGAAATTGCTCTTTTGCAAATCTTGAATGTTTTAAGGACTGATTTGCAAGTTCAATTCAACATCTCAATTGCTCGTCTACTTCAATTAGTTCTTTTCAAGGGTCTGGACTTCCCTTGGCTGTTTTTCTTCTCGACTCTCACCTGATTTATATTTCCACAAATGCCAACATTTGAATGGAGTACATTGCACCTTCTTTAAAAAATTTATATCTGGAATGATGCTGGAGGGCATAGAAATGGATGAAGTTATGAGATGCTTGTAACAGGTTCATCTTGTTGGCCATGTTTCTCTTCCGAGCTACATATTGCTTTATAGCTGCGTTTGCCTGCTTTCCAAAATGATTTTTTGCGAGGCATTTGAGGATGAGTTTGATATGGAGCAGTGGCAAATTCTACATGGAAATTGTAACAACCCGTCCCCACATGGATAGAAACTCAAAGTTGTGGGCTACCAATAACTTCCACAATGTTCTAAGTTGATTAAGAGTTATTGGGTCCGCCTGTTGCTTTGGGCTTGGGGCGTTACAAATGGTATCAGAGCCAATCCTTGTACGTCGGGATGATGGGGCAAACCTTGTCCCATCAAGCATGATGAGTCTCTGAGGAGGGGGGGTGTTTGTAACATCTTAGCGAATCCCACATCACTGATGAACAAGGAGAGGACGCTGGGAAAGGCGTGACCAGGATGTCAAGAATTTACTTGTGGGAGTTTGTAACCGCTCGTCCCACATGGATGGAAGATTAGATTTGTAAACTTCTTATAAGCTCAAAGTCCTGGGCTACCAATAACGTCCACCATGTTTTTAAGTTAATTCGGAGGCTATTGGGTCAGCCTGCTTTGGCCTTGGGGAGTTACAGAGATGTTCTCGATGATGGGAGCGTCAGGAGGATGAGGCTACTTTTATTTACTTTGAGTTGGCAAATGGAAGGTGGGTTCCAAGCAGTAACCTCCAAGGTATTACCACCTGCAGGCACAGCTGGATACAGTTCAATCTAATAAACTCTTGATGGTAGCTTGTTTCCCCTTTGGTTTGCTCTCATTTCAGTAGGTTTTCTCTTTTGAAAATTCTGTTCCTATTTTTGTCATGTTGGGAATGATTGATATCTTCTCCAACTTGAGGAGTGTTGGGCGATGCAATTGTGGTTCTGTTAGGTCTTTCTATGGTTATTAGTCCACACCCACGGGCCAATCTCATGTAAATATAGTCAGGGTTTTCTACTTGGGGATAAACACATCTTGATGCCTAACATTTTTCTTTTTGATAGTTTATTACTTCACAAAAGATGAGAAGCTTCCCCCTTTTTACATAGAGTGTGATGCATGTTTGTTCTTATCTTCTTATACCATACCGGTACTGTTTGTACTGAAGCCTAAAGGCAATTTGAGAATTATGTACTGTTTGTATACCAGTTTTAGTACACGTGAAGAATCAATTTTTACGCTTCTTATGGGCTGGGGGAGTAATGTTTTCTAACAATTTAAGTTACCATTATCAGAACAGAGCTTGTATATACACAGAGTTATTTTTTAAATTTGTAACTCAAAGGTAAGCGAGAGAACTGTTGAGTTTCTCATGAACAAGGTTGTTCCATCGGAATTAGCAAGGTATCTTGTTTAAGTTTTTCTTCTTGCTTTCCAAGTGCTTCAAAATTTTGTACATTAGGAGTAAGGTCCCCCAATATGAATCTGTGATGGTTAAGGTTGAGGCATCTGCAAAAAGTTGTAGGCACGATGACAAGACATGGTTTGAAGCTTTTTTCTGCAATGTCTGTTTGATAGTGCATGACTACCAGACTTGGTGGGAGATTATGCTTGAATGAAGGTTGCACAAGTGAAGTTCCCCATAAGCTACAGCATTATTAGTTACGTGCAGTTTGTTGCATCACTCTTTCTTATTTGCAGTTCATATACTATATATGTTAGTGTTAACAGTAGGAGATAAGTGTTCTCTTTTTCGTTTAAAATGAATACCACACAACTCATGCTTGTTTATAACAAGATTTCACTTTGGAACGCTAGTCTGTTCAGACTTACAAGTTATTTTTTAATTGTTGGCAGTTCATTAGCTCTTTGAAAGATAACTTAAATGCGGAGGTGACGTTGGGAACTGTGACAAATGTGAAGGAAGCTTGTGCATGGCTCGGATATACATACCTTTTCATAAGGATGAAAATGAATCCTTTGGCATATGGTATTGGATGGGAAGAGGTAGGATTATCTTGATGGCGCATATATATTATTGTTTGATGTATGTTGTTTACGTGCTTACCAAAGATTATTCTTTTGACTTCTATCTAACCATATGCCATATCTCCAATATTAGTTTGTCTACTGTCTCCAAGTTTACACTTAATAGTATCAATGCTGTATCTCTTGCTAAATTTTGCATATCCTAATTATGAGCCCTGTGATGGGAAACCTTTGTGCATGATCTAGAGAGAATTACATTAGAATCAGTAACTCAGCATCACATTATTGCATGCACGGGTAGCTTGCTTGATTTGCAAAATTATCTGACTCTGAATTGCACTTCTGACACATGTTCAATAGCCTGATCATGATGATGCTAATTGTGGTCACATCAATATTTGGTCCATATTATGACTTCATATATATTTGGCTTCCGTTCTTACTTTTGTATGCCAATGTTCTTGAACAACCCTTGTTAGCTGTTCATGCATAGCAATGAGATCACAAGGAAGACATCTGGAGCAACAAGAGTTTAGCCATTGATGATTTTTTGTGTCCTAGTATTTGTACCTTACCATGTCTAGGCAGATTCCAGTGTTAACCTTATTAGGTGCATTACCATACAAATACACTAATTATTTGTACTAGCATGATACACCCAGTTTCTGTTCATCTTTTTGGCTGGCCTCTATTATTGTAATATAAGGACACCTTTTTGTTTTCTGTAGAAAAAATCATTAGGGTAACAGATACATGTGATTCTTATGAACCCAAATTTTTTGGTAAGATCATCTTGCTGTTATCTTTTCCATGTAATAACTAAAATATGCCCATTTAAATTTTCTCGAGGACGAAGTAAGGTCGACCACTCTACTAAATCTTCTCATGTTGAACTCTATAGAATCTTAGATATTGGCGACGGTATTCCACAAATGTTTGGTGTATATTTCTTCTTCAGAGAGGACAAATGGACATGAGGATGATGTACTTTCACTACTCTTCACTGAATTTATATGCGTAAAAATATGTTTCATCTTGTTACTGTTATGAGTAGCAAAGTCTGCTAGCAGTACCTCTAGAAATTTATAATTCTGGCTAAATGAGAGCACAAATTGAAGGGTGATATAAAGTTGGTCTTCCTCTTCAGGCAGCATATCCATAGTTGCTTGAAACAATTTTGTCTTCTCCATATTACTGAATCCTTAGTTAGAATTAGAATGGGATTCCAACTCAAAAAAAAAAGAACCCTTTTTTTGTGATACCTATGATGTAATTGGAGCTGGAACTTTTGCTTGCATTGTCTTATTTGGTTGCGCTCGTTGCGGGACTTAACCCAACACCTTACGGCACGAGCAACCCCCCCGCTAACCCGAGTGAAGATTCAAATATTTGTCCTACATTCATTCGTGCGAATGAAATCCGATACATAAATCAGTTAATAAAAGGGTGGAGGGACTGGATCGGAAAAAAGAGGGATTCTAGTGTCTCAAGTCTCAGTGTTGACCTTCTTTTCTTAGTTGTGGTCAAGTTGGTTTCTTTTTGGTCTGTTAATGCTCAATACAAAGAACAGACATGTTATACCACTGCTGTTTGTTGGATATTGCTGCTAATTTCTGTCAGTTGGTCATCGCTTTTCGACACCAATAAATTCTGTTTTCAACTTGGTTCTGCCATCATAATAAACTGTATGAGTTTCACTTCAGTAATATTCCAAGAAGGCTCAAATGTTTGTCAGCTTTACAGAAATATGGATAAACTTAGTTCTGATCAATTCATTCTTCGCATATATAAGATTTCTATAACATACCAACTCATAGAAATGGTCAACATCAATAAGATAATTGCAATTCACCTTTTGGGGTTTGCAAATGTCCACATTAACTTGGACTTCATAGATATGTCACCATTATATTGATGGGACCGAACACTTGCTGCCACCTTTGGAGCTCTTTCACTTTCAGAACTTCTGTGGTAGTTTTTTACCCTTCTCCATTCTCTCCTATATGAAAATTTTGGCTGAGAAAGAAGAGATATAGAAGATGCCCTGAAAAAGAACATATAATAAACTAAATTCATGACATAAGTTTTCCTATATGCAGAGGCAGGAACATTTTTCCCATACAACCAAGTGGTAAAAAAACTAAACTAAAGGCTAAAATTAAAAGATTCAGCTCGTGATATGATTTATCTTTGTAATTGTGATGTAATATTCTTAACTTCGTTCTCTTGCTTAGGGAGTTCTGTACAAGTCTCACTTGCACTCTATAGTGTATTGAACTTCAAAGCTGTATGTTAGGAAAAAATTAAGCTTTTTTGTTACGATGACGGCATTAAACATTTAAGTAGTTCTTTGCTATTGATGGACCACTTCTATCTTCAGGAGCAGATTTTCATTGACTATTTATGGATGAAGTTATTCTATATTCTTTGTTAGTAAAAAGCGTAAGTATTGCATATTTATAGATATACTAATTCACCAATATATAAGGATCTTTTTCAAATAAACTTTTATGACATTCTGTTAGATGGCATACATGATAATTGCTTTTGGTGTGATAGGTTATTGCAGATCCTTCACTGGGTTTGAAGCAAAGGGCTCTTGTTGCAGATGCTGCACGTGCTCTTGACAAAGCTAAAATGATGCGCTTTGATGAAAAAAGTGGGAACTTCTATTGTACTGAACTTGGTCGCATTGCTAGTCACTTTTATATTCAGTATTCTAGTGTTGAGACATACAATGAGATGCTGAGACGCCATATGAGTGATAGTGAGGTAACAAATTCTTGTCAATTTCCTTGCATAACTTGTGGGGTTGTATCACTGTTAAGTTCCAATGCTAACGACATATTTGTTTATAAAAACAACTGGAATGGTCAAAACCATAAGTGGTCATGGTTTGCAACAAAACTTCTAATTTGCATAGACATGGAGCTAGAACCTTTTTGCACTTCTAGGAATCAAGTCTATCTTTAGTATGCCCATAATGATGGCCCATAATTACTTACCAAGTGATTGAAGATCTTTTGAAGAAACTAACCAAACCAATGTACACCGTGCATCCCACTCGTACCCTTGGAGTAAAGAGGCTGTTTTTGATAGAGAATGTGCTCCGACTCCAATGCTTGTTTGTATAGGATGTTGAACGTAATGTTAATCGTCCAAGTACAAGCACACTTGTATCGAAAAGGTTAAAATGCTACTGCAGATCCAGGATTAGTGACTAGGTATTGCCAGCAAGAAAATTTTGACAATCTACTTTATTTGTGCATCTATATGGCAGATCCAAGTGTTTCCCCTCTGGTATAATATCCTTGGAACTTGGTTTATAGTGAAAAAAACTTGGTTGATAATGGAAAGACCTTTTGTTGAAACAGATTTTGTTATTAACTTGGGTACTGCGATTGGTGGCATTCGTGACCATTTTTCTTATTTTTGCAGATAATTGACATGGTTGCTCATTCTTCGGAATTTGAAAATATTGTTGTTCGAGAGGAGGAGCAAAATGAATTAGAAACATTGGCTCGCACGGTCTGTCCATTAGAAGTTAAGGGTGGTCCCTCAAATAAACATGGGAAAGTATCTATTCTAATTCAGGTATAGGGTTTTGAAGATCAAGAACCGTACTGAGCTATTAAATCAATGTGATTTGTCTTTATCTAACAATAATGTAGTAATCATGTTATTGGCAGATATACATATCGCGAGGGTCTATTGATGCATTTTCCTTGATTTCTGATGCGTCATACATTAGTGCAAGCTTGGCTCGTATTATGAGGGCTCTTTTTGAAATTTGTTTGCGTAGAGGATGGTGTGAGATGACTTCCTTCATGTTGGAGTATTGCAAGGCTGTGGATCGTCAAATATGGCCCCACCAGCATCCACTCAGACAATTTGACAGGGATATATCATCAGAAGTTTGTCTATCCCGCTCTATGTTGCTATGTTGCTTATGCTTCAATTCTGTTATTTATTATGGTTTTGTTTCAGATAGTTCGGAAGCTAGAAGAACGAGGGACTGACTTGGATCATCTTCAAGAGATGCAGGAGAAGGAGATTGGAGCTATGATCCGTTATGCACCTGGAGGAAGGGTACTTCTATTCTCATAATTGGTGTTCTGCACTTTTTTTGCCCAATGTTTTATTTGCTTAAGATTTTTTTGGCTGCATTTCAATTTGAAGGTGGTGAAGCAATATTTAGGATTTTTCCCATCAATCCTGTTGTCTGCTACAATAAGTCCCATCACCAGAACTGTTCTAAAGGTAACTTTTTTGGTTAACACTCCAAGTCTTAACAGCCTGGTATGGAGTCCGATACTGCTATGGAATTTGTAAATATTGATTATCCAAACCCATATTTCAGGTAGATCTGGTTATCACTCCAGACTTTGTGTGGAAAGATCGCTGGCATGGTGCTGCACAACGTTGGTGGATTCTTGTTGAGGTTCTGTCTCGCATCTTCTTTTGTTTGCTTGAGATAGCTAATTCATATTGCATCTGGCTATTTTCTTCTGAACCGAAAAAATGGAAGGAACAACTTTCTTGCAAATGCTTCTGCATATTTGTAATACTTCAGTTCAACATATGAAATATTAATTCATATCTTGTATTCCCTCTAACAGGAATAACACTAAAAAGATAAGACTGGTGAAGTAGATTGGAATTATTGAGATCTGTATGAACATTCAAATCATTAATTCATACTTGTAACCAGAAAAAATTTAGGCACCAATATAAAACTAAATAATACATCACTAGAGGCAACTATATGGATTATTAGAAAATCTTGCAAATTGCAAAGAACAAGAGTCAACAAATAAATCAAGTTTAGGTGTAAATTAGTATTAGTAGATTGAAAGCGGAGTGTTAGTAGTCGGTATTAATATGGTCTTTAGTTTGCTTGGTCTTTCAGTCCGTACAACCATAATTTGATCTTATTAGGGTTCCAGCGCATATAAGTCATGTATTTTTCAAGGTCCTAGGATGCATGTTTTTCAAAATCGTCTGACGCGAACGGCACCTGAGGCGGCACAAAACTGCTTCTGAGGCACCGCTTTTCACTTCATATTTGAAACGTACGCCTTATATAGTCGAGGCGGTGCATGAGGAGGTGAGGTGGTGGGGGGCCATTGAGGCAAACGTCTGCAATTTAAACAGCTGGATGCCTGAATCTCTTTTTAATATTATTTTATTTTGAGACCTCTTATCTTTATCAGCTGAATCTTTGTATTTAATATTTTCCAATCTGCCACGTGTCACTATAACAGTCCCAGTCCCACCCCACTTCGTTGATATATTAATATGTTCTTTCTTTATCACTCATCTGCGTATCATGAGGTGTGGCTTGTGAGCATATTAATATCAGCATATATATATATAGGGTCAGGTTCAAGAGAAAGCCGCAAAAAATGAAAAATTGTGGAACACCCTGGTAACTGTTCATTTGGACGGTATGCACATGTGCATATAAGTAATTTGTATGCAATTTTTCTGGTATGCACACGTGCATAAAAACCAAAAAACAGCTTCAGTTACTTGTATGCACATGTGCATACCATCCAGATGAATTGTTAAGAAGGTGTTCTTTAGTTTTTCATTTTTTGGGGGTTTTCCCCTGAATCTCCCTCTCTATATATATATTATCAGCAGATCAAGATATTTTCTTCTTTGTTACTGTATCTAATTTCATCATTGAAAAAAGTGTATTTAAATTCTTTTAGTAATTTAGTCTGTTATATATATATATATATATATAATATTCTTAAGTACTCAAGTGTGTATAGTATAAGGTTGCAGTGGAATGAATATTGGTATATATTGTGTATGATGCTTATATACATGGTATATATATATATCAAATATTTTTGCCTCGAGGCTTATGCCTCGCCTCATCAAGGGAAAACGCCTTGAGTCCTGATTCCGCCTTTCAAAACCTTGCTAAGATGATGTAATATGTTCAATTATTTGATGTTGCATCATGTCTTAATGTAGAACACCTTTACTATTTCTGGATGGAAATTGATTTGTTGTGTCAAAGAACAGAAATCAACCATTTTAGATTAGTTAATGTGCCAAGAAGGAATTTTTTTTGGTCTACCGGTTTATGAACTTAGGAGATTATATGTCAATCTCCCATTTAGACATATTTCATAAGGAATGATTTTTTATTATCTCACAAAGGTATTGCCTCTTGATGAGTTGTTCGAGACCGAGGAATCTAGAGATTTCCTATTATTTGTGGTCATGCTTTCTGTCCTATTTTGCTATATGTTCACATTTCCTGTCATCATCTGTCGGTTTTTAAGTACATAATCCTGAGGCGTAATGCCAACCAAGTAGCAATCCCTTATGGAGAAGGCCCTAGCTTCTGAAATGGATCTCTCTCTCTCTCTCTCTTGTAATTGATTTGCTATGGTTATAATTTTCCCTCTATACAACTAATTTTGGAAAATGGTTTGTGCTGTCAATTCCTTGGTATTCAGTATTGACTTGTTTCTTTATGTTGCCTGTTTTATGTCCACTACACCTTTTTTCTGGATCCAGTCTTAAATTTTAATGGTAATGCCTTGAATGAGGTTAGTGTTTAGCCTCTCATGAATAAATTCATGCAGGATTCAGAGAATGATCATATCTACCACTCGGAGCTTTTTACATTGACCAAGCGAGCAGCAAAAGGGGAACCACAGAAGCTTTCTTTCACTGTGCCAATATTTGAACCACATCCTCCTCAATACTACATTCGTGCTGTTTCTGATTCTTGGTTGCAGGCTGAGGCTTTCTATACAATATCTTTTAAGAACCTTGCCTTGCCAGAGGTCTCCTTCCTAACTTAACATTCAGAAACGTTTGTGATCGTCAATTTTTGTTCGATAGTTGAATTTGTTGTTCCATCTTTTTTATTCAGAGCCACACAACACACACTGAACTTCTAGATCTGAAGCCACTTCCTGTGACTGCACTTGGTAACAAGGCATACGAAGCATTGTACAAGTTTTCACACTTTAATCCTATTCAAACTCAGGTATGATTTCCTAGATTGTGGACTTCAGCCATCATGTTATCACCAATTATGCTGTATGCTACTAATGTTTTTAATGGTACTTGGCAGGCTTTTCATGTTTTATATCACACACAGAACAACATTCTCTTAGGAGCTCCAACTGGAAGTGGGAAAACTATATCTGCAGAGCTCGCTATGCTTCATTTATTCAATACATCCCCTGATATGAAGGTACAACTTTCATTTCTGCAATCAAGGAAATCACTCATCATAGGCCTTGAATTCACCTTCTAGGTTGTAACTTTGCAAGCAGCTCTTTGACATCAAGGCATGGGTTATATGTTTAATGCTCATTTTTAGACCACAAAAATTCATTTATTTGTGTTCATAATATTTGAACTGTGAACCAAGTCAAATGCTGCAATTATCGGATGGAGGCACTAACCTCTAGGAAAGACTAGATGTAAAAGTAAACTTAATACGTAAAAACTGAATATATGCATGAAGCTGGGTTTTATCTAGAGATCAGTATTCTGTGTGCAGTGGCTCACATATGTTAAAAAATTGAAGTTCTCATTGTGACACACTCAACTTTTCAGGTTATCTACATAGCACCTTTAAAGGCCATCGTTCGAGAAAGAATGAATGATTGGAAGAATGGCCTTGTCTCTAAACTTGGAAAGAAGATGGTAAGTATACTTTCGAACTGTCACCTGCCTTCCTGGATTCCCTTTCATGATCTCATTCTCTTCTTTACTATATGCATGAAACTTATACCGAGCAAAAAGACGTACTAAGCTCATAGACTCTCACTGCCTACCTACACCCTTCCTTTTAAAGCAACACTGTATCGTCCTTCAACATATTGGCAAGTTCATATAGCAGTTTCCATCTAGTTATGATGCCCACCCTCCTGAAGTTCTATCAAGTTTCTCAATGAAGCTATAGATTCTCTCAAAATTGACTAGTCTAATCATGTGGAAGTTGCCACAGCATAAATTGAGAAAAAGTGCAACTGTACTTACCTAACACATGCATTAGCACACTTTAGTGCCAATGGATGGGTACTGGTCTCAAAGGCACAACCCATACTAACTCCTAACTTTTTGTTAATCGAGTTCTCTCTAGTAAAGAAGTGGACTTTCTTTTGGTGTATCCTGTGCATGAATAGACGTGTCCAGTCTCCCCCCATACTTTGGCAGTGATAGCAGGCATGTGATCAGAAGTGATGGTGATAGGGATGGAGAGTAGCGTGTTTGGAGTGGGAGGGGATAAACTACTAGTAATGAGAGAGGGAGCAGAATCTGGTTACAAGTAAAAAGATTTAAATGGAGCATATTATGGGTTTGTTGGGTTTGAAAGCCATTTTTATACCGATGTTTCATGCTTTGTGTTTGTTTTGTGTATGCTAAAATTGGTTTGATGAGCTTTTTACTGCTTTTGTTTATTATATTGGCTGGATATTCGTCTATCACGGGCATAAAATACATTTATCACCTGTCAAACTTGAATTGATATGTCCACATGCTGTCCTATTAGGTTGAAATGACTGGTGATTACACGCCAGATATGATGGCTCTGATGTCAGCAGATATCATAATATCTACTCCTGAAAAGTGGGATGGTATTAGTCGCAATTGGCACAGTCGAAGCTATGTCACGAAGGTTCTTATCTTACCATCTGTTTAGGAATTATCATACAGAGTTGCACAACAATAATTACATATTATTACTTAATCAAAATAAAACAAGTATGAAATATCATTATTGTTATCATCCAAGGCATTGCATAGTATATCATTCTTTGACGATGTATTTGTGCAAAATATACAATTTTGTTGGCAGGTTGGTCTTATGATTTTGGATGAGATTCACCTACTTGGTGCTGATCGTGGACCTATACTGGAGGTACAAATGTACTAGCTTGCATTAGTTAGCCTTTGAACAACATTCATTTTGCATAAAAAAATATTGCAATTGGTCTCTCAGATAGAGGTGGTCATGGTTTTAGCACCTTGACTGAATGCCAAAGCAAATGAAAAATAAGGGGTTCTGTTTCGCAATTTGTAACGTGACAATCAGCTTGCCTTGATTGTATTCTTCTTTCCAACGTCTACATTGTATGACGTTAATTCCAAGAAATAGTATAGCTGAAACATAATCTGGCATCTTCGCAAACATCCCTCTGACCTGTCCACCTGGCACTCCTCACTTTAGAATGGGAACTAGTATTAGTTGTGCGCAAATAATGTATAAGGAGTGTGTGCATTATGCTTTATATTATTTGTTAAGTAGTATTCGTCCCTTATGTTTGCTGTATATTGTTCCAGTTTTTTTTCTATTTCTATATAGGCTTAACCTTTTCCTTTGGGGAATTCAGCTTATAAGATGTATCATCCTTATACTGAAACATATACTATCTTGTTTAATAGAAATGGTAAGTGTGGAACCATATCAAAAGCATAGCAAGTTTCTGTGATCGGCCATCTCATGGTTTGGTTTTAAGTTGGCATTACAACCAAACTGGAGTCCTCTGTTTAGTCATGATTTGCCGAGTGGGATATTTTTTTAGAAGGGTGTCCCCGGCTATGCCTGGACTAATCCGGGCAAAATTGTGACTGCAAGAAATCAGCCCTGATAAACTCAGTTCCCACAATTGTTGTGTACGCCTGGGGCCGATGGAATATTCCACCACATCCCCCATGTCCTCAACTACTGCTCCACAACCCTTGTGGTTTTGCTGAGGGGGATATGCTGGGTGCTATTTTGGTTATACACACACATAAGTGTGTGTATGTATAGACAATCATCTTTTACATTTTGTTGAAAAAAATACCAGAAGGCACCAAAGATCGTCGACCTAGTGGTATCCGGCGTAGTTTTAAAAGGCGGAACTGGGCCTTGAGGCGTTTTCCCATGACGAGGCGAGGCATAAGCCTCGAGGCATCCCGAGGCAGATATATATATATATATATATATAATACTACACAAATACATATACCTTACACAAATAATATGTATACCAATCTTTATTCCACAGCCACGTTATACACATAAAACATATGTATATATATATATATATATCTTATATACACACAGAGAGACTAGGGTTCTTGACAAAAATATACACATAACGCTAAATTACTAAAAGAATAATCTATATACACTTTTTTCAACGACGAAATATAGATATAGTAAGTTAGTAACAAAGAAAAATATATTGATCTATTAATAATATATATGTGTGTGTGTATGCCAAATATTAATATGCTCACAGCTCATGAGTTATAAAGAAGAAAAATATCAACAAAGTGGGAGTGGGAAGTGGGATTGTAAAAGTGACACATGGAAGACTTGAAGGGACTTTTTTAGAGACAATACAAAGATTCAGCTGATAAAGATAAGATGTGTCAAAACAAATAATAAGAAGAAGAACCAGGGCATCCAGCTGTTAAAGTGGAGGCATACGCCTCAATGGTACTCACCACCTCACAGCCTCATGCACCGCCTTGACTATACAAAGGCGTACTATTCAAACAGAGAGTGAAAGGCGGCGCCTTGCCTCAAGGCGCGCCTCCAGGCACTCGCCAGACGATTTTGGAAGCCATTATCTGGTAACTCAACCTTTTCAAAGGTCAAGAGTTCCAACCTCACCGAAGGTGAGGAGTGTGCATGAGTTTCATTTGCCGTATATAAATATTATATACTTCAAAAACAAAAGGCTGCTAAAAATTTGGGTTTAACATGACATGCATCCTTTTAGTTGTTTGGCAACAGAAGATTAATAATGGGTAAAATAATTTCCTTGAAGGTCATCGTTGATGAAATCTTATTGTGAGGATTTTCATTGTAACTAGTCACATCCTTCCGGTTATTTCTCTGAATCATCCATTGTTTATATAGATGCTTGTAGCTTACTTTGAATAAGACAGCTTGTGATATACTCTCTACGTCCAAATATAAAAGATGTATATTTTCTCCGAAATTGACTGTGTAGTATGTAGGTATATGATCTGGAATATTAAGGATGGGGGATAGCATGTGCTAACTGTTCAGTTTCATTGGTAGAGCTTATAGTTTTGGATGGATTCCTTTGTTCGGAGATGTTATCTTATATCTTATATGCTTTCGATGCTGGTATATGGCTGGCACACTTGTATATACACTTACTCTAATACCCACTAGTTAACAGCCAGTCAACTACTTATTATCACCACAACTTGATACGAGTTTATGCAGGGGGTATTATGTATGATTGGTACCTTTATAATAATTATGACATATGAAGAATTCATCTTGCCTATAGATGTATACGTAGTATTGCTTGCCCTAGTATTGGAAATCTTTCCCCTAGTAAGATAACATAGTATTGTGAATGTAAGAGAACATAGTATTGCCCTAGTAATAGATGTACACGTAGTGTTGTGAAGAAAACATGTGAATATACATACAGGATACAAGGGTGGTGATATTTGTGTGAGCAGAGTAGAATGGTACTTGTGGGAGGGGAGAAAAAGACACAAATGGTATCAAGGGGTAGGGCTGCTGGGTGAACTATGGAGCTTATGTGGGTTGCTTTGCTTCTGCAGATTCCTCTTATGTGCTTGCTCAAAATTTTGTTTCTTAGTTACTTGCCCATATGTGCATATGCATGATCTACAAATCTGCTACACCACTTAAAGTTTAGTCAAGATTGATGTGAAGTATTTGAAGTATTATTAATTTTATCATTTTATTTTCTAATAAATGAACCTGATTCTTTCGTCTTAGTATATCTTAAAATTTTGAGTCCTTTCAAAAAGTTTAGGAACCTATGATTTCTTCACTGTTATGTACATACTTTGCTAACTTACGATTTATGGATATGGAAATACGCAATTATGTAAGTCATAGACCATCCCATGGTAATCTTGCCAACACAATCACTTTACATGTTTAGTTTTGAAATTGGTAGTGTGTATGCTATTTGTAAGGGATTCCAACTTTTTGTAAGCACCAACATATTGTTCTGGCATATTGTGCTCTACTTGGCACACCCTTGACAACTGTCATCGACATCCTGACTATTTGGATTTATTTATCATCTTTGACATGAAGGGTGCTTATAACTTGTGGACAGGGTGTGCACAGACCCACCCTGAAAAACTCAAGAAGTTTTTGAAAAATGTCATATGCTTCCCATTCCAATGTGGCTGTAACAGTTGGTTTTGTGCTTTATTAGCAAAATCTCCTGGTTTGCAATTTTATATGTTTAAATTAATTCAAAATGTAATTGATAAAATATTTTTATTATCAGAAAATAAAATTATTTTAACAAAAATCATGGATATATAATCACTATAGATGTACTTTTGATCATTTTATAATAAAAATTATTTGAGTTATAGACGGTTCTAGAAAATAAAAGCTCGTTAGGGTCATTGTTGAATTAGTAAAGGTCAGTGTTCCGCTCTTACATGTATTTTTGATACAATCATTTTTACCAATATAATATGGTTGGGTGTTCGTATACTATTTATACTTATGTATTTTAATAATTGTTGGTACATTAACGGAGCTATGATTTAAGCAATGGTGAGCCTAATGTAATTATAATTATACAGACATAAGTATAAACATAATACAAATACCGATAAGATGATTGCATAAAAAATACATTTATACATGTAAGAGAGGAACATTGACCTTTACAAATTCAACAATGAGCCTGACGAGTTTTTATTTTCTGAAACAGTCTATAACTCATATATTTTATATAAATAGATCAAAAGTATATTTATAGTGATTATATGCCCGGATTTTTGTTAAAATAGTTTTACTTTTTAAAACTATAGATATTTTATAGTTATTATATTTTAGATACCAAATGTGTTTTAGTTATTATGGATTTTGAGTTATTTAAATATATAAAATTGCAATTAGGAGATTTTGTTAGTAAAGCACAAAACTTACTGTTACCGACACGTTGAAATGGGAAGCGTATGAATTTTATCATAACTTTTTTGGCTTTTCTGTGTGCTGTGCACACCCTGATCCAATAGTAGCTCCGTCCCTGATGTCATGTACACTGCAGATATGCTCTTTTGAGATTAATGCTTTACTATTCTCGACTTGGTAACCAGGTCATCGTCTCAAGGATGAGATACATATCATCACAAACGGAGCGGCCTGTTCGGTTTGTTGGCTTGTCAACAGCATTAGCAAATGCCCAGTGAGTTATTTTGTGTATGAACATCTCAAATGAACTTTGAGGCTTTTCTCATGTTCCATTAACTAGAAACATTGATGCATCAAGTTTGCTATGAATCTGTGATGTGTAAGCAACAATTTATATAAGTGTGTGGGATGGGGATGGTATTTGCATATTAGTTTCTTGTTTCACGAGTGTTGCAAAAAGAATTCACAATGTATATGTTGTTCTCTACTTTCCTAAATGTTACTAGAACCATCCATGACAGTTCTCCATCAAATCAACTATACCATATTGGCCAAAAAGGTTTATTTACTACTACCATTGATTGGGAAGTATGTCCTACTCAAGCATGTGTTATGTTATGCGGTATCTAACCTTATGCAGAATGAATTCCAAACCTTATGTTTTTTCTGTATAAAGAATAGAAACCTTATGTTTCATGTTTCTCTGTTCGGTTCTTTGTTTGTATACCATGGTACTGCTATCTTTTTTAACAATGGTATGTGTTATATGATTTTTTTTCCCTGTAGTGTTTGATATTATTCCAATTTTGTGATGTCTGTTTAGGAATCTGGCTGACTGGTTGGGTGTTGAGGAAATTGGTCTGTTCAATTTCAAGCCAAGTGTAAGGCCTGTGCCTCTTGAAGTTCATATACAGGCAAGTGATAATTCTGTTCCAGCTATAACTTTGTTTCACCTGTTGCTTACAAATATGCATATTTGGAAGTCTGAAATACACAAGATATTTTCAGCTAATTAAAAAAATCAAGCGTTTCTCACATGTGTGGATGTATATGGGTTCAATACATTTGAGCTTCAATTGAAGTGACTTTCTCCAAGTTGAAGTGATTTTTTACAGTAGACCTTCTTCCATGAGGAAATATGAGGAAGTTTTGAATACTTTATGAGGTTGCAATTAGTATGTTACAGCTTCAAAGGAAATGGGCAAGCTTAATTAGTATGTCAGAACTCCTTTTCATGCTTTAGATCTTCTGCACCTTCTGCATTATAATATGTACTTTTGAAAATTGACAATTATCTTGTAAACCGCCATACCAAAGGTTCAAGATTAAAAGAATCTCCTATATTAGGAAGGGATATTTTGTGTAAGATGTTTTTCATTTACATTTGTCCACATGCCATTTGTTATATTAAGAGTGTCTTATGCTTTATACTTTACACTTCATGAAATTGTACAACTTGTGTAAGAACTTAATCATCCTTTCTGTTTCTAAAATTTTAGATTGTATTCTTACAAAAATAAATTGTATAATTTAAGATTTGAGCACCACGAGAGATAATGCTCTCTACACATGCTTATTAAAAGTGTTGTATGAGATCAGCCATCCACCCTACAATCCCTGATGCTAGCCGTCTAACTATGAAGACTCATGCTGGCATCTGTTTGAACATCTATGTTTTTCTTATGTTAACATTTTCTAGATATGTAACTGGCTGATTAGCTGTTCTTTGCAACTCTTTTCTACGGTCAATGATGAGGACAAAGTGAATCCTATATTTTTCTTATCAGTAGTGAGAAAGTTTTCTATATTCTGTGTCTCTTCAATTTATAGGGTTATCCAGGGAAGTTCTACTGTCCAAGAATGAATAGCATGAATAAGCCCACCTATGCTGCCATATGCACTCACTCACCTACCAAACCGGTTCTAATTTTTGTTTCATCTCGTCGGCAGACGAGGCTTACTGCATTAGACCTCATTCAGGTACGTCAATTGATTTTTATAGAAGTGACAGAGCCTCTAAACACTATTTACTTTGCTAGGCATTATATTTTTGCTCTTTTGCAACGTGAAGTTTGCAGCTTCAGATGAACATCCAATACAGTTTCTGGCCATGCCAGAGGAAGCACTACAGATGATTCTTTCTCAGGTCACTGATCAGAATCTGAGGCACACACTACAATTTGGTATCGGGTTACACCATGCAGGATTGAATGACAAAGATAGATCACTGGTTGAGGAACTATTTGCAAACAACAAGATTCAGGCAATGATTAAATTACCTTTGATTATTGTTATTTTTGGACAAATTCACCTTAATTATTTAGCTAACCAGAAATTAAGCATGCATTGAGTTAAGCTTTATGGCATGCTTTTTTTTGTTATTCATCGATACCTATCTTTGGAAGACCTTATTTCATGTACATCTTATGGATGATTACTGTTTCAGATATTGGTTTGCACAAGTACATTAGCTTGGGGGGTAAACCTTCCGGCTCATCTCGTTATAATAAAGGTTAGTCAAATTATGTATGTCATATTCATCAATATAGAGGAGTCTTGTAGCTTTTAATTTTCTACAGACAAACCTGAAATAATTTAGTGAGAAAATTGTTGCATTCGCTTGAAAGATCTTATTATAAGTTTATCATTTTATCTATATTTGGTGTGGTCTTTCCTTCAAAAAATATCTTCTCGCAATGATGCTCGTAATAGTTACCCTTGTAAACATAAGATCATTGCCCGTTGCAACTGTTTAGAATTAGTGTCAATCCAGCACATCATTCATTGTTCGTAGGGTGGAGGATCCAGCAACATAAACAAATTATCCCTGCTAAATTAGGCTGAAGAGCCATGCATAATCTTTAGACTCGTTGATTTGATTGGTTATTGATATTGGGCTTGTATCATGTGCGTTCAGGGAACAGAGTATTTTGATGGAAAAGCAAAGCGTTATATTGATTTCCCTATCACCGACATCTTGCAAATGATGGGCCGAGCAGGTCGTCCACAGTATGATCAACATGGGAAAGCCGTAATTCTTGTGCATGAACCCAAAAAAAGCTTCTATAAAAAGGTCAAATAGATGCAAATGAAGAATCACATACATAGTGTACAATGTCGTAATTACTGATGTGCTAGTCTTTTTTTGCAGTTTCTTTATGAACCATTTCCGGTTGAAAGCAGCCTTAGAGACCAGCTTCATGATCACATCAATGCTGAGATAGTTTCTGGAACAATTTCTCACAAGCAGGACGCAGTACATTATTTAACCTGGACGTATCTGTTCCGAAGGCTGGTAAGATTTATTTAATGCCAATGCGTAAGGATAATGTATTCTGTTGCCATAAGTGCACTGTATTTTTACTTGATAGCTACTTACTGGTGCTGATATATTTAAATCATGAACATTTGGAGGATTCTGATATTTTGGTTATTTGACTAGTGTGGACATTTGTGAGATACATAGGAGAGTTTTAACTGATGATGAAACATATCTAATTCCGTTCTTGATATATATGTTTCTACCAAATTTGGGCAACCTTCAATGAGGTAATACCAACAGATGGTGTAAAGGAAACCTCAATTTATAATCAGTAAGATGTTGAAGATGATTGCAATTCAAAGTTTACACTATGCTCCCTTCTGGTGTTGGTAACTGGCGGTGCCTCCTTTTTTAGTATAAAAACCCTTTAAATATACAATAGTTATATTTTTTTCTGATGACCCGAGAAACCACGCCTAAGGGGATGAACTTTTGCCGGCCACATAACCCTTGTACTTCACCGGGTAGTACTCATGTGCAGGATTCAATCTTGAGGCCTTTAGGTTATTGTGAGCAAGTTTCACCCACTTGAGGACGCCAGTTGGGCGCAAATTTAATATCCTCACGCATGGCTTTCTGTTTTGTATGTGATAGGTAGATTTATGTAAGATCTTTGAAATGACTTACAAGTGTTATGATTTCATGAGCGTGTAAACATTCTACAAAGAAGTTAGAAATTTCTATATATTGTCTTGTAGTTTGAGGACAATGTTAAGTATTAGTCCAAGATTCCATTGTATTTTCTGCAATTGATTCATTTGTAGAAAGTGTATAGAAAGGAAAACAACATTTTTTTTTCTTTATCTTATGTATTGAAATGTCAAAGGGGAAGAGACCATATTTAAGCTTGAAACTAACTAATAGTCACTAATATTGTTGAAAGAGATGAGAATGTAAAAATAGCTTTGATCACTGTCCTCATGTACACAAATCCGTTGAACAGAGGAAGAAAACACATGGGGAAAATTAGGCATGTTGTGTTTATCCTACAAGAGTCGTTTGGATATCACACCTTATCATATCAATAAGTGGACATGGCATAAAATTGCAACACCTTACGTGTCTGTCACAAGATCATTCTTAATAAATCATATAATTTTGATATGATCAAGAAATAGGATGGGTGTGGAATCAAGTTAACGCCTTTAGCTATGAAATAACATGTTTCATAGCTATCCTAGTATGTTGGCGTTGTTGACTGAATTTTAATATTTGCTGATAATAGTTGATGAATTTCTAGAATCCTGCTACACTACTCTGGTATTCACATGCTCAGTTCGTTACGGCAGAACCATTATTTTCATCGCTGTTAACCACTGGAATTTCTTTTCTGACATTGTTACACATGTTGTAGATGGTTAATCCGGCTTATTATGGATTGGAGGATTGTGATCCTGAAAGTCTAAGTTCTTACTTATCCAGGTATAGCATCTCTTCATGAAATTGGAGCATCACCTACTTAAATTTAGCACTAAATGAGCAATTTACCTTGCAGCCTAGTACAGAACACATTTGAAGATTTGGAAGATGGTGGATGCATCAAGATTAACGAAGAAAATGTGGAGCCTTTAATGTTAGGCTCAATAGCATCACAATATTATCTGAAGTACCTGACAATTTCCATGTTCGCTTCAAATATAGGGCCAGATACCACTCTTGAAGTAAGTTAAAAAGTTATTTGACCAGGGGTTTCCATCTGTTTTTTTGTCCAACCCTTTTAACAACATGATAGAACCACTAAAGTTTTATCATTTTAGCTGTTGCACGCAACCATCTTTATGTTCATTCTGCTAATGTCATTGGCTAGGGGTGATTCTTATATTATATCATCTTCCATTCAGGTCTTCCTTAATGTATTGTCTGCTGCTTCTGAATACAACGAACTTCCTGTCCGTCATAATGAGGTAATTCTATTCAAACGGTAATTTTCAATTTGTTTAGGGGACAACAAAGAACCTCTCAGTTTCCAAGGTTCTTGCTTAGCTAAAGAAATCGGAAATTGGAGAGCCGTAAACAAACTCTCTGAGGAGATTATTCATCTATGACAGTAGAAGTGGCTACAAGTTTGACCTTAAAAGACTTTGATATTTACTTGAATTATGTTGGCAAATAATGACATGGTTTGGGAAAGTGGCCGTCTGTTACTTGCTACATTCTATTATGTGTATCACAATCTAGGATCTCTTATACTTGCAAATCTTTTTGGGTTTTATCTCACCTGCTTTTTTCTGTTGTAGGAAAATTATAATGAAGCGTTGTCTGCTAAAGTTCCATATGCAGTTGACAAGAATCGACTTGATGATCCACATGTTAAAGCAAATTTGCTTTTTCAGGTCAGCATGATCTTGGATGCTTTGCTTGAATATAACGAGTGAAAATTTACTTCTTTCTTTTGATCATTTTCTTCTGAAACTTATCATGCCATTGCCACATATCAAAATATTGTACAGGCACATTTTTCTCAAGTAGAACTGCCAATCAGCGACTATTACACAGACTTAAAGTCAGTGTTGGATCAGAGTATACGTATTATTCAAGCCATGATAGACATATGTGCAAATAGTGGGTGGCTCTCGAGCTCCGTTACTTGTATGCATCTTCTGCAGATGGTCATGCAGGTATGCCTCGCCATTAGGCTCCTATCTTCCCTTTGCTTATTCTTTTTATGCCGTTTGTCTGAAATATTCTTAATACACAATTGATATTTGCAAGAGAGCTACAATAAATTGTGGCCATCTGTTACTGTGGGGAAGGGTCCTTCACAACCCACAAATTATTCATAAGATATATATAATGGTTTAAATTTCCTTAGCAGAGTCACCTTGCAAATGTAAATGCTATTTATTTCAAGCTTAAAATTTAGAGGCGGATCCACAAAATTCTGCAAACAAAATAATTAGCACGATATAAAATAAAACGAAATTTGATTATAAAAAGTACGGTTTTATTAAAAATGGCAAATAAGTGGTTTTTCGAAACATATAAGTGAGTTTTCTTTTCTTCTCTGCTGCTGTTACGAGAACTTTAAAGGAGAGCTGAAGGGATTTGAACTTGCAACCTATAATGTCACATGCAATTACACTATCAGTAGGCTGTAGCCACTTTTTGTTAACTTAGCGGAGCACACAACTTAAAGCGGGCGCACCTTTGAGACCCCTAAAATTTTTCCCACTGTGTCGGCACGATAGAGGGGGTGCATGTGCACCCTCTTTGGCCTTCTTTAAATCCACCTCTGTTGAAATTTCACCTTGGTAGTCCTTGATACTGCTCTTACTAAGGGCATGGGAAGAGTTCCTTTTTGGGACCTCCGTTAACAGTCTCCAATTGTAGACCTAATAAACTTGTTGAGCAGGAAAGGTGTTCTTACTGCAACTCTAATCGACTTCTGTAACGGTTTTTGTTATATTTGTGTGATTGAAATCAGGGTATGTGGTTTGAGAGGGATTCTCCCCTATTGATGCTGCCATGCATGACTCAAGACCTTGTCAGTTTATTGCAAAAAGGAGGAATTTCGAACATACAACAACTATTAGATCTCCCGAAGTCGACTATGCAGTCTAGATTTGGAAATAGCGCTCCTAGACTACAGCAGGTAGGAAAACAAAGCTATTTGAGAGTATATTATCTGATTTAATGCATATCATATGTTTATGGTATACCTTATGTTTGTGTGCTTGCTTGTTATTCTCTCTTGTTACCATTGACCAATTCTCTAGTTCTGGTTTTTCATCTTTTTAGGATCTACAGCATTTTCCACGTATTCAAGTCAAGCTCAAAGTTCAAGGAAGGGATGTTGGCAGCGACAACAATCCCAGTCTCAACATTCGGTTGGAGAAATCCAACCGCAGAAAAACATCAAGAGCTTTTACCCCACGTTTCCCGAAGGTATAAAATCCATCGTATGGTAGTTTTGATCAGAGAGTTGGGTTTCTGTGAGAAATGCCTGTTTTCGTGAGAATTGTGAGAAATGTAAACCTTCTCACAGTATAATTTAAACTTACCATGAAACCTGTGAATATGACTTTATATTGTGTGAAACCATCTGGAGGTTACCTCCTTCATAGTAACATTTCAATGCACATTTCAGGTCCATGTGAAAGGTTACCACCTTCACAAAGTATAACGTAATATTCACACAATATAAGAGCATCTCCAATAGATTCTCCAAAATGGAGATTTTGGGGATTTTGGCTAGTTTTTTCCTCCAAAACTCTCTCCAAAAATGATTAGTTAGGAGGGAGATCTGGTTTTTTTATTATTATTCCCACCAATGAGAATCCTTGAATTTTAATCTTTAGGAAAGAGAGATCATATTCTATTAATTGTATTGAATATTTTAATAATATAATTAACAATTGATGTTGAAATCTCCCAATGGAGAAACTGTTGGAGTTGAATGTAATTTATTTTGGAGATTTTACTTTTGATTCTCCATTTTGAAGAATTTTTGGAGAGCAGATGGAAATGCTCTAAGAGTACCTAAACGATTTCTCACAAAAATGAAATTTTCTCACATGATCCCAAGTCTTCGATCACATAGTTTAAAATTCACTTGGTATTATCACCCGTCCTTAACCTTCTTTTTTTCAGTTAAAAGATGAAGCATGGTGGTTAGTTCTCGGCAACACTTCCACCTCCGAATTACATGCTCTTAAAAGAGTTTCCTTCACGGATCGTCTAGTTACCCGCATGAAGTTACCACATACCACAACTAGTTTACAGGTAACTTACCTTCCTTCAATTTTGCACTTATTTAAGATCCTAGTATTCCTCAAAATCCTTTTTTGGATCTTCTCTTTTCATGTTCCTTCTTTAGTCACTAGATATGTTTCGGAAGTTCTTTTGGTGGTTTGGGTTTTCGCGTTTTCTCTATATGTCGCAAACACTTGATATAAATGGTGAAAGTTTCCGTTAACCCTTGCCTATAATCGATCAATTCATGGGCCGGCTTCTGCCAGCCTTGAATGGCAGCTTTGTAATACAGTAAAACGAGTTCAACTGTTACATGAACAACATGCTGTTTGGTTGGTTTCCATTAAGTCGTGTATGGATAACGTTGTCTCTGTGAATTAATCTGTCTGTATAGATTAGAAAGGTTTTTGTTTGGAAGGGGTTTTTTCATGGATGGAAAGAGCGTGTTTTTTAAATAAGAGGAGGCAAGTTTGGAAAAAACTTGGCTTCCTGAGTAAGCCACTTTCTATATCATTAAGCCACTATCAAACAGCTACTTATAGCTGGCCGAGTAAGCTGTGAGTCCATTAAACTCATTAAGCTGCGAACAAGTAGGGAAACACTGAAAAATGAAATTGCTCATGTTCTGCAAGCAACACCATTCTTTTCTGCAAATCTTTCTGTTCTTTGCTCGTATCCCGGGGGTCTTCACAAAAACAGTCGCTTGTATTCATCTCATCATCCCTCAGACCCTACTTTCGAGTGGGATATGTTGGGTTTGTTTCTTCTAATCTTGCCCATAGTTAACAAAGATTATAGCATGTATGAAATGGTTTATTTTCTTGATTTGCTTACTATGTCTTGAATTTGTATTTCTTCTCTTTTTCTTGCTAGGGAATGAAGCTGCTTCTCGTTTCAGATTGTTATCTCGGATTTGATCAAGAATACTCGATTGAAGAAATTATGGAGCCTTAGTTTAGCAACGGTAAATATGCTGTAGTAATTCGTTAATCACAGGAATCGGAATCCGTAGTCGGGTAGTAAAATATAGACGTGCCGAAAGGCCAAAACCGTTTTTATTCATATATATTTAAATCAGTGGATAGATTATCTTTCAAGTGTTGTGCACAAAAAATAAAACTCATTTGAGGTCATTTAGCTATGTAAGCTTAAATGAATTTTCAATTAAATTTATGACTTTCTGGTCTGTTGATGAAAAGTAGCTGTATATCTAAATATCCCGTTACGTTCTCAGAAGTGTTTTATGCGAATTCAGAGGCAAGAACCGCAATCGTATAATATTATAGAGTTTTACATTTAAATCAAACTAGCTTAACATAATTAGCCAATATGAAAATCACTTTGTGGGAAGTTGGAACCAACTTCTAATCTCAATCTTTATATATTAGAAAACAATCGAGATATTTCAAGATACTTGCCATGGTAAGAAAGAAGGGGGGAACAGGCATACTTGGAGAGCGTAGTACAACGGAGAGTTGTATTCTGCGTTCGGGAAGGATGAATCGCTTCCGAAAAGGAATCTATTGATTCTCTTCCAATTGGTTGGACAGTAGGTGCGATGATTTACTTCATGGATGAGGTCTCTAGTTCGGATGACCCAGTTGCACCAGGGAAAAGAATAGAAGAAACATCTAACTCCTTCATGCATGCTCCACTTGACTTGGAGGGATATAGCTCATTACTTATCTATATTATATTATAAAACATTTGACAAAAACTCTTAAATACCATTTTTTATGTGCGAAGTACTGTTTATTCATGAATATTACTTAAAATTCAAGATTACAAGTAAATTATGTGTAAATACAACTTATAAAGCTCCTTGTTTGAATTTGTGTAACTAAACTCTAGATAAACATAATCAAATACAGGATAAACATCTCATTTTAAATATAAAAAATCTAAAATATAATTAGAATAATCATTGAGTTTTAACAGAATACTTAACTATTATCTTTATAAATGATTATATTATTAAACCCAAATTAAATTAATTTAAATTAAATTATAATAAAATATCATGAATTAAAGAAATTACATAAAACAATAAATTTTAAATAGTTAATTTACTACTAATATCCATATATATTTTTTCAAAATTATATGATATTTTAAATTTTATATTTTATTCAAAAATAAAAACATTATTGCTTTCTCAAAACCACATAAAACCGTACTAAATCGACATAAATAAATAAAAAAACAAGACATTGAAATCGAGATATATCTCGATGCATTACACGATTACCTTTATAGTGAAAAATAATATAGCTTATTTATTATGATTGATGCTTTATATTTAGAAATGATTAAAGTATTTATAAAACCAAATACTTGTTAGGCTAGACTGACCGGTTAAGATTTGTTTCTGTGCTGTCAACATCAAAAAATTTGCATTATACCAAGAATTTTTAGATACAGTTGCACCTTCTAAAATAAAACGATTGTACCTTTCACAAATCTATTTTTTTTACCTTACCACGGAGGAACAATACGGTGGCACGTGCCACCTAACCTAACCACCCCTCTAGGTCCATCTTTGTATCAAGACCAAGAATATATAGACACAATACCTGGTCAATAGCATTACCATCCAAATTGTTACCAAGTTTTTACTAGTATTGATGACAAAAGGCATTTTAAACATTAAGCCAATAGTATTTAGATGTCTGAATGATATCACAAAAGCAAAAAACTACAATAACCATGCAGTCTATGTGCTATCTACATTTTCGTAGAACGGAAAGAAAAAAGACAGCAACCGCCTCATCCGTCTTACTAGATCTATCGACCATGTTACATATCTCTATCTTATTTACAAACTTCTTCCATCAAATCTCACCTCCAAAGCTACGCACGCATAGCAGGTGATTCGCTTATTCCCAGTCTGAATCGAAAAATCCAGCATCTCGCATCTCCGAGTAATAAGCATTGTCTAAAAGCAAATCTTCCTCCTGAAAACACAATAAATGGTGGTCAAAACTAAAAATGTCTTTTTTAATCCATGTTTTGGCAACCATAAGTTAACTTATTTTTTCAACTTACTGAACAAAACCTCGTTCTCAATAAGCTCCAGGGGCTTTTATCCACTTTTTTTCTAATTAAACCCTTCCAATTGATTTTAAAATATATCCTTTTACGTCATTTTACATTTTCATCTAATTTATGAGTTATTTTTCACCAAACATGAGTAGCTTATTTTTTGAGCTTGGTGAAAAAAAAAACTTCGTTTTTAATAAGCTCTGGATCCTTTTTATCCACTTTTTTTCTAATTAAACCCTTCTAATTGATTTTTCAATATGTCCTTGAAGGTTATTTTACATTTTCATCTAGCTTATCAGCTATTTTTCACCAAACATGACTAGCTTATTTTTTGAACTTAGTGCAAAAACTCTGTTTTCAATAAGCTCCGGGTCCTTTTATCCAAAAAATTTCTAATTATACCCTTAAAATTAATTTTTCAATGTCCTTTTAAGTCATTTTACATTGTCCTCTAGCTTATCAACTACTTTTTACCAAACATGATTGGCTTATTAGCCAACAATAGTTTTCATTTTCAGCCAGCAACTATTTTATCAGCTAGCTTGCGAAACATAACCTTCGACAAAAAGAAACCTTCAAATATAAAGAAAGGCAGGGATGATTACCTGGAAAAAATCTGCCAGGAAAGTTACATATAGAAAGGGAAGGTAGAGAGTGTGGTAGCAGATGCCTACGAAACTATACAACCTGCAAATACAAAACAGAATATCGAGGTCAAAACTGGATATTAGGTAATCACTTTTGTAAAATGGAACGAAGCTTGGGCAGCATATGTTTGGTGATATATTTGAGGGAAACTAGAAAGAAAAAGAATATCGGTGATTTGTGCATGTTTCTATTTTAGTTTGTCTTAGAATAAGTGTCCACTTTCAAAATTGTGTTGGCTTTCCAATTTTCTACCGAAATTCATTACTTCCTCTATTATTATGGGTAAAATTGTCATTTAGTTAATTAAAAATTGTAATAACTACCCATTTCTAAAACTGTGCAACTTTTTCATTGTGGACGTTTATTTTGGGACAGAGAGTATTTCAGGAAGTACTGTTTTTCTTACCAAAGTCCAAAGCTGACGCCACTTGCAGCCAGCGCACAAGCGAACAACGCCACTCCATTAACCACAAACATGATCATGACATAATTATAGAATGCCGGTCTGGCTGCATCAGCAGAAGACGGTGATGGAGTTAACAGATGAAAAGGTCAGTTAAGAAAAAATAATAATAAAAAAACAATTGTTTGAAATATTTCACTCACGGGGTAACTTATCTCTCCACTTTGAGTAATGCACAAACAATATATATCCATAAGTGCATGTCAGCAACAGATCATCGAATATCCACATGCCCCATTTTCCACTATGGGTAGTTATGCCATCCATGAAAAGCGGCACATGAAAACCAAACACAAAAATTGCCTGATAGCAGAAAACGTAAATGAAAGTGAACTATCAATAACTTTGCAGTAAAGAATATATACAGTTCCTTCGATCTTCATGACCACAATGGATCTGTGATAAGATTTTTCATTTACAGTAAATACAGTAGGATTTATGGTTATATAAACTGTTGAAAAGGTTCTTAGACTGAAAATGGGTTGATTGAACTTGCAAATTCACTCGTTGAATAGAAAAAGTGAAAAACTAAAGTGGATCCATTTGGATGGTACTAACAAATACATGTGCTAACTCCAATTTCTTGCTCAATAAACCAATCAATGCCCCCTAAAAAGTACACTACTAGATGACCAGATATGGTTGTTAAAAATTACAGGAACTAGTACGTTACCGAACTCATTATAAGCTAGCAAATAGATAAATACAATCCCAGCAGCCAACTTCTGTTATAAATCTGATATGTTCACAATTTAATGTGTCAAAAGAAAGCTGCGGTCAGCCTTTGTTGTAAGAAGTAGTTGACCAAATAAGAAGTATCGACTAAAGCTAAATAAGAAGTATTGACACTAAAGTTAAATAAGAAGTATCGACTGTCTGAACTCCCAACATTATCCTTGTTATAAGTTACGAAGGACTAATGAACGTTGCTATGAAGGAAAATGGATGTAGAAAGATAGTCCATATAGCCAAATGTGGTGAGTACTCCTGCTTAAGTCAAGCAATTTGTGGCTTGGTAATTGCTGGATGGAACAGTGCTATTCATAGCTTATAAAATCACCCTCGCTTCACAAAGTTTATCTACTCCCTCCGTACCAAAATAAGTGTCGCATATTTCTATTTTAGTTTGTCTCAAAAAAGTGTCACTTCCGAAAGTAACTGCATACTTACCAATTCTACCCTATATTATGAAATAGATTGCATCCTTCGTTATCAACAGTAAAATTGTCATTTAGTTCATTAAGAGGTGTAATAATTACAAATTTCAAAGACACTGCCTTTTGCATTGTGGACATTTTATTTTGAGACGGAAAGAGTATAATGGCAAAAGCTGAGAAAGGAAAACTGAAAAACTAGATACCAAAGCCATCTGGTGAGACATCAAGGGAGGGAACAAGGCATCTACAGGTCATACTCATATCTATGGAAAGTATTCTAAGATCTAAAAAGGAATATCAACCTGAAAGCCACTGGTAATCCTTCGGCAAAATCCTCTTACTAAAGTCAAAGTAGCATGAGATCAGACTCTTCCCTGGTGCCCTCAAGGAAGCAATAGTAATTTTCATCACGTAGTTAAATCATGATGATGCTAATAAGTTTGTTAAACAATCAGGTGCATGAGACATGCATCTTTTTTACATAAAAGTACTTGTTTTCATCATAAGAAAAGAAAAAGTATCATACATGCCAAATAACTGGATATTTGATGCTTTTGCCGTTATCTACAATCGAACATAACCATGCAGGCACAAGCTGTATTTTTACGACTATAACAGGCAAAACAGGGAAGGTATTACCTTGAGAAGTATATCAGCACCAACAATCAGCCCTGAAACCATGAAAGTATGAGCTAAAGTTTCCAACCCACTTGCATAATTTTCCTGGAGCAAGAAGGCTACCAAGCTGATCTCTAGACATAGTGTTCCAGATTCTGTCAGCAATGACAATAAATTCCAAGATACCTCCTTCCCAGGAATGCACTGCCATGCCTGTATAACCACAAATCCGAGAGTCAATAGCAATTAAAGCAGAGCTGGAAACTTCTTGAAGACCAGAAATAGGCATGCAACTTTTAACTTTGTATCATCCAAATGTATATGCTTTGAAAAAAGTTTGAGATATATATTGTTGTTAATGCATATGAATATATATGCACAGTAGTAGGAACTCTGCATCAGCTGCATACCTAACCAAACTGGAACCTAGAGTTCGAAAATAAGGGAACCAAAATGAACCGGTTTGGTCCCAAACCAAACCATGAACCAGTTCGCTTATTGTTGGGTTGGCAATAGCCATGAGACTACTTGAAAAGTGTCCACCATTCATAGTCAAACCATGGACCATATGTCAATACAAGACAATTTGAATGTGAAAATATCAGGTAACGACACAAGACAAGTTAAAAGTCAAAAGTTACCGCATTCATATTCAACCATGAATCAAGTGTCAACAACGGAAAACCCAACACTTGAATAAAGTTAAACCATTCATAGTAAAACACCCAAACCTAACACTTCACTGAAAAACTTAGCTCATGTTCACTGTTCTAATGAACCTGTTATTTGAATAAAAACCACATAAATGTTCAATTGCTATAGTGAAATGCATAAATTGCTAACTGCTATATGACGTGCAAACAACGGAAAAACAAAAAGTTATGATCCAGCTTTTATGCTTCTACAGTGAAGTGCTAATATTCAAGCACGTAGAACTAGTTTTTTTTTCCTAATTAAAAAATAATAATAGAAAATGAAAGATTAAGTGTATAATAATAAATCAATAAATACAATGATTTTGCAACTACAAATGAAATTCGAGACACAAGATTCTCAGTTTTGGGGACTTTGAGATTCCACAACTAGCAATCAACACTCAGCTCAATAGCAGAAGATTGGAGAAACTGCCATATTGGAGTGGTTGGTGATGAGTTAATGAAAAAAGCAAGAGATATACCAAAAGATTATGAAGCTTGGAAGGAGAAATCAAGAAAAAGTGAAAGAAATCAAGGTTCAATCGGAAGAGAAAGCTTCCCCAACCTAAGAGGCTAAGTTACCGTCCCATCGAATTGAGACTTAACATAAAAACCTAGACAACGGGAATGAATGAAGTGATGCCATTTGACCAAAAAAATATAAACCAGTTCGGTTCATTCAAACCATTTTTTGCACACATCCCTTTATTTCATGGTTTGTAATTAAGGTCGATCGATAGAGTTCAAACAGGTAAAAATTGCAAACATTGGGTACTAAAATGGCATCGGCCTCACAATTTGACATTGAGGGTGTAACACCCTAGTTTCTTATTAAATAAATCTCTTTAGTTCAGCCTTAAATACACATATTTATACATAAACAAGTGCTCCAGCAGCTGCTACATTTAGAAAGCAAGCTAGTGATGAGTTGTTAAAGCTAGAAGTGTGTTGGCAAGTCTAGTAAGCATTACTAAGCAAGCTAGTGATGAGTTGTTAAGGCTAGAAGTGTATGAGTTGGCAAGACTATTGATTACAAGACAAGTCTAGGAAGCATGACAAGGAGT